ACCCTAAACCCTAAACCCACCCCCACGCACAAAAAAACAAAAAACAAGCAAAACAGGCAAGGACATCCCTGGCGCGGGAAGATGGATAGGTTCGAGGCAGAGGCTTGGAGACGCTCGCCACGGCTATTACTTTTTAGGGTTTGGGGTTTAGCGGACTTCTCTATTGGGACTGAGGAGGGTAAGTATGTTTTTTTGAGCTTTCAGGGTTCAGAAGCTCGGGGTTCAAAGGGTTCAAGAGTGCATGTTTATGCATTATGCGGTGTACTGTAATTGTTGCGTTAGGGTTGAGCTGCTGGACACAAGAATCCTTCCAACATAAGGTACCTTTGTGTTTGAAGTAGGTCGGAGTTTGCTTGGAGGCCTGCTCACACTCCGAGATGAAAGACACAAGTGTTCGGGAAGACGAGTGGGCTTTACGCCTTGCATTGGCCGTAGTACATCTTGAGGCCAAGAGGCTTCACGTAGTGAGGAGCCTCCAACGCCTTCAAATTGTTTTACGCGTCGGAAAATTTTTTCCTCAGCTTTAAACAAGTGCCGATGTTAACCAAGGACTCTATGCCCAGCATCAATCTCAGAAAGGCTGGCAAAAGTCCCAAGCCAGTTGTCGCAGATAAGTCTCAGAGGTCGAGTTTCGTCTTGATGGCTCCGGCTCCGGGTGCATGCCTGTACCTATGGGGCAGGGTTTATGTGGAGTTTGGGGTGGTGGGATTTGGTCGATGGAAGCGGCATGTTTGGTCTGGCAGCGGTGAAAGCAGTGAAAGCTTATGTGAACGACTGTAGCATCATGGCGGGTTACGGGAATGGGCTTACGTCTTGGTTTAGAGATTGGCCCAGATGCGATGTCGGGTGTTCAGGGTTGAGACTTTGCATCGAATCAACAAGCTCAACTCCGCCAGAACCTTCTTTTCTGTGGGGTGCTTGTTACCCTGTTACATGAACTTTGAACTCCTGGCACATTGGAACCCTGAAAAACGCCGCTTAGCCGCTTGGCTCATTAATGCACAAAGCTTGCTTTCTTTCGGGACGTCCACCACATGATCCATGGTGGTCTTTGTCAGGGTTTCCTATTTCTGAAACTCTTAGGAACTGACCAACGGCTGCGAGTGCAATTTCTGGAACTCGTAGAATTTGACTGAAGGCTGCAAGTGTACCAGAAAGCCGGGGCCGCTCTGAATCCAACTTGGGCAGCCACATCTCCCCGGTAACAGTCCGAGCCTTGAGAGCACAGCCTTTGCCATGAATCGACAGGGTTTGGGGTGTAGGGTGTAGCCCCCAAGCCTGGGCTTGCAAAAACAGGGTGTAGGGTTTAGGAGGGACCTGGTTCAAAAAAGGGTTAGGAGAGCACCTGCTTCTCAGTCGATGGAGGCGTGGTTGAAATTCGCTAAACCTAGGACCAGTTGGGAAAAGGGCTTACACCCCTTCCTGCTTTCGTGGGCAAGCGACGTCGGTACGGAAGGCTTCCACACCTTCGCCATCGCAGAACACCTCCACAAGGCTGGGCGCGATCCAGTGGAGTTTGGGGATGGTGGCAGCTAGGATCCTTATCATACCCTAGGGCTCCAGTTACCTAAATAGTAGGTTACTGGGGTACATAATGTATGGTTAGTAACCTATTATTTAGGTAACTGGAGCCCTAGGGATAAATACCCCACCCCACCAAAACAAGGAACGCCTGGTAATTCTCTTGAAACTAGGAGAGCCAGGTTCGTAGGAATCCTGCAGACGAAGCAATGTCAGTACATGGCTGAAAAATTCCGAGCAGTGTCTCCTTATAGCCCACATAAAGTCAACAGATGTCAGTGGTATCTTGCGCCCGTAAACCCTAGTTCATCATTGTCTTCCGAGCCCTGTAGCAGCAGCGTTCAGCTCATTTATTTCCTTCAGTTCTGCGTTGTTCCGCGCCGTCTGTCCCGTCTGCACGGCTGGACACCAAAGCAGTCAGCACCTTATGCAAGTGCCCTAAACCCTAAACCACGGCCCCAAAACGCAAAAAACACCACAGCCCCATGTCGCGAGAAGAATTTTCGGGGATGTCACCCCGAACCCGGAGGTTCCTATGCCCTCCCCTTTATCTCGGTCCTTGTTGGACTCAATTTTTACATTTTTGTTATACTAAAACCCAACAAGGATTAATCATGTTTAGTATAGCCCCAACAGGGAACCAGTTATCCCGCCTGATTTCAAGCTCAAGCATCTGAACTCCCTGAACCGCAAAGCCCTGGCTAAGCCCCTCCAGTGCTCGGAACTCCTAAACCTAAACGCCGGCTGACAGCAAAAGGAGCTTAACCCCTAAGGCCCTAAACCCTAAACCCTAAACTCTAAACCCTAAACCTCAAACCTCCCCAGAAAAAAATGAACTCTGCTCCCTCCTCACTGCCTTGAAGCTCTAAGCCGACGTGGGCGAGGCGCTGAGGTTGGATCCCAACCGAGGGGAGCTGCCGCCTGGCTTTGAGGGTTTAGGTAGGGCTTTTCTGAGGGATGGTTGTTCAGGGGCTCGGGTCTGAGTTTCAGGGAGCTGTTTGTGGCTGTCCCTAAACCCTAAATTCCAATCTACCGGTCTCCCCATACCTTTGGGTAATCTCGAGATCCAGGTTGTATGTTCTTGTCTGAGCTGTCCACGAAGACGGCGACAGCTGCCCAGGTACTTGGACAGAGCGACGTACCGTGCCAGGCACGCCTGCGCCGAGCTTCTGCAGAACCAGGCATCCCTTGAGAGATCGGGACTTCAGCATCAGGCTTTCTCTTTACAGGGCATGTTAAGTTTGAGTTTTCTGCTTGATAGCCTGCTGATTCCGCGATCATGAGGGCCTGGACTGTCGGCAACAGCTTCTTCCACACCGACAGTCCTCTAATATTCCATGGCCAACGATGATTCACGACGATATACGACAGCATACTATAACATGCTACGATATGCTACAGCATACCGCAACACAATACGTTGTACTAGAACATAATTACTGTGAAAGTTCAAAGTGCTCTAACGTGCTACAACACCCTACGATACGCCATAGCATACTAGAATACATGGCGATATACTCCATGACATACTGAAGCGTGTTCTGAAGCTTCGTCCGTGTCCCAGGCATGGTTAAAACCTCCGGGGCCCTGGATGTCAACCCTTTCCACCCGCCAATTTTGCTTTTGCCTTTGAAGTTTGAGCGTTCAGGGTTTAAAGCTGAGTTTTTGTTGCCTGTGGGGTTTAAAGTTGAGGGTTTAGTCAGGGTTTCGAAAATAGCTGTACCCGCATCAGCTTCGGGTTGTTTCTTGCAGGACCTGCCACTAAGCTTGGACCTGGACATTGCATCACCTACTGGTCCACCTCCCTGCCCTGAGCTTCACAGCGGTTTAATTTGGGGTAGTTCTGGTACAGCCGACAGCGGCAGGTGCCGGCAGATCCTCACCGTAAGGAATTGCAGCAAGTCCTCGAGGACACCGGGGCGGGAAGCAGAGGGGTCTGTTGGCACAGTGTCATACAAGAGCCGCGAGAAGATACAGCGTTGCTTCCTTCCTGGCTTCTGCAGAGCTGAGCCTGCCTCCTAACAGTATTAATGATAATGGTAGTAATAGTAATAGCAATAGTAATAGTAATAGTAATAGTAATAGTAATAGTAATAGTAATAGTAATAGTAATGACTATTTCTCCATACGAAGAAACAAGGGGTAGTACGATTCCGAAAGCCCCGTGCTGGGACATGCCTGCGCCTGTTACCTAACCATTCAGCAAGCGTGTGTGCCCTGCAGGTTCATAGCAGCTGTTTTTGTTCAGCATTGCTTGTGAATCAGAGCAAACTTCTGTCCTTACTGGCACTGCTCTCTCTAGTCTCGTTGTGCATTGCGGCTTTTCGATGCAAGGCCCTCATTATCTGTTTGTTTGGTTCTGTTGGTTTATAACCTAAATAGTTACACATACTGGTTCATTCTTGTAATCATAGTATAATGGCCCCCAAACCCCCATTCTAATTATTAAGGCCCCCATAGTAAAACTGCTGCTCTCGCCGTGGTCCGAAGGACTGCCATGAGGCCGTAGCTCGCGACAGCAGCCTGCTGGAGGTGCGATTCTTGGGAGGCTGGTGCTTACTAGGGTTTAGGGTTTAGGGTTTCAGGGTTTAGGGTTTAGGGTTTTAGGTTTAGGGTTTTAGGGTTTTAGGGTTTAGGGTTTTAGGGTTTAGGGTTTAAGGTTCAGGGTGCGATTCTTGGG